ATCTCACATTACCTCACTTCAGCTTTCCTTTCTGACAACAAAGACACCAGCGGACCAGCAGACTCACTTCACTATAAGATCGGCCTCCATAATACTTTGCAGTTCTAGTGTAATGATTAGTTTACAACACTGTATATAGTCTAGCTTTTTTGAGTTAAAATTTGCATAACACTAAAATTCTATTGTCTACCAAAAATTTAATCTGTTTTTAATTTGCTCAAAATAAGGTAAAGCAGAACAAGTATCTTTATGTTGTCTGTCTAGCCAGAGTAAATTTAGTGTATTATTGGTCTGAAGTGATTCTGACAGTATCACTGCTCCATGACTATCAATGTTAGTATCATACAGATTAAGGTAGGTAAGTGTCTTGTTACTATTTAAAAGTTTAGCAATTGACTGAGCACAGGCTGAGGTGATGCCACGATTGTATTGAAGTTGTAAATATTCAAGTGTTTCATTATATTGCAGTGATTGTGCCAATGCAACGACTCCATCATCACTGATCGAATCATTAGATATTTGTAGCATTGTTAAAGATTTGTTGGTTGATAGTTGAAATATAAATGAGAGGATATCATCATGTGTTAAGAATGCAGAGAGTACAACAAGTCGCTTGATTGTTCTTCCTTCCAGTATAGTTGGTATTAGAAACTGTATACTGTCAGATGAAGAGTCAGTGAGTGTCATTATTTCATGCTTGTCCTCCAATTTAGTGATTACCTCCATACATTGATCTACTGATGGATTAAGAAGGTGTACACCATCTTGACTCCATTCCACCTCTCCATCCTCTTGTACTACTAATAAAAATATGCAATACAAGTATTCAGAAATTCATTAATGATATGATTTTATTTTATGCAATACTTCATTGAATGTTCTAGTACATGTGTAACATAGTTATACATGTATGTAATTTATTCAATATGCACATGCTCACATACACACATGCATACACATACTTATTAAGCAATAATTAAAATTATAAAAAGATTAATGTGCATTAGAGAGTTGCAGGCATTGCGCATGAAGTAAATGCCATTTACTTGATGTGCTAGTATTGAGTGATTCATCTGCTTCTGGTACTTCTTCATATGATGATTCTAAACAATTAAGTCGTCACATGGGTCAGCATGTACATATTATGAGCTGATCATTTGAACTTGTGCATGCCTGCATGGTTGAGTTGCTAAAAATAAATTAAATAATAGCCTTGGAGTCGAAGTGTGCTATATTTAGGATAGGGTCTCAAATGCAGACTAGATCAGATTTTGTTTGAGGAACAAAATTTTGCAGGCCACAAATTACTTCAAGAAACGATCATATCCCATAACATAGTTATACATACATGTAATTTATTCAATATGCCTTATATACACATGCACAGTCGCACACACACACACATACACACACTCATTAAAGGCTGGTTCACAATATGACGTTTAGGCCAGTGTACCATCAATTTTTAATCAAAAGCGTGGGTGATTTGACCATTAGACACATGCTTTCCACTAGAATAGAACCAGATTCTATTCCAGCATCAACGTAACGTCAGGACTAGCGTAATATTGTGAACTAGCCTCAAGCAATGATTAAAATTAAAAGAACTTTAATGTGTATTTATAAAGTTAACATTAAAGAGTTACAGGTATTGTGCATGAAATAAATGCCATTTACTTGATGTACTAGTATCGAGTGATTCATCTGCTTCTGGTACTCCTTCATATGATGATTCTGTTAATAAACATGCAAATGCAATTAAGTATTAGTTGTCACATAGATCAGCATGCTAATCATTTGAGCTTGTGGATGTCTGCATGGTTGAGTTGCCAAAAATATAACCTTTGAGCCAAGTGTGCTACATTTAGGATAGGGTCTCAAATGTGGACCAGATCAGATCTTGTGGATCAAAATTTTGCAAACTACAAATCGCTTCAAGAAATGATCATCAGTATACATTATCTGCTACATGGGTCAATGGTATCATAAATTTTTAAAAGCTGCATACTAGTATATGGAACCAATACAATATGGATTGTGAAAAAATTACATGACTGAAATAACTCTACATACCTTCAGAATCTGTTTCTTCCAAATATTGTTTTAATAAATTTTCTTTCTCTATCACTTCTTCGAATAGTATTGAAATTTTTTCTTTTAATTCAGTAATTACTTCTTCTTTTTGCACTATTAAATGATAATATATATATCTGGTAATTTTTGCTAAAAATTTGATGATAGGCAGTTAATTTGGCACATTTGTGGGTGTGTGCCATTGAGCACACAAAACACGTGTATAAATGGTGAGGTTTTTTTCAGAAATTACTATCAAATTCATCAAATTTTGCCCATGCAAGTTACCAGCTATATTACACTTGATACTAAACTATGAATCATACCATTGATGCGTTGGCTCTTGTAAAGATCTATCTTTACTGCTTCTATTTCTTTTAATCTGTTTTCTGATAGCTCCATGAATGCTGCTAACTCTGTTTCAGTAGCTATCACAATTATAGTTAATTCTAGGATACACAAGTGTCCCTTACCCATTATCTTTTCATCTCTGTCTCTTAAAGCAGCTTTTAAGTCATTAATCTGTACTAGAATGTCTGTCACCACTGTATTCTTACTCACTACCTGAATATACAGGGAAAATAATAAAATTATCAGGAATGTCTAATATCTAACCTGAGTAGCATTCCACAGAGTAAAGTTGCCCACTATAAATTCCTTTAAGCCTTTCCTTTGCAATGTATCCATCATACCAAGGACATCCATTATTAGTAAGCCAGTGTATTCAGTAGCACAGTAGCAGGCCACTACAACTGATTGACCAGTACCAACTTTATCCATCTGTATGTGGCACTTATGTAGTGGCTCTAACTCAAACAATACGTCATTGATATCCTGCAATGTATGTTCATCAGGATCCCAGTTGAAGACAAATACAACGGTTTCACATAAAAGGCGAGACGGAGTAGCAACTGCCTGTAGCTTCTCATCAAGGCAAAGACTCACTGATACCGATTTGCAGAAATTCTTAGCTTCCTCTTTGAATGACTTAATGATTGGCTTAGCCTCTTCTATGTCAAATTCAGAAGCTAAATCTTCAAGGGGACTTATATCAATGATGCTACACTTTCTTTTCAGTACTTTTAATACTTCACCAACCGTATTTTTATAAGAAAGTTGAGGCTTCAGATCAGGAAACCAGTCACTAATAAGTTCCTTCATTTCATCAATATTCAAAACGTTTTCTCTGCAAACAAATTTATGACAGACTTTAAGAACCGTGGAACCAAACTTCCTTCTCATTTTCATAAACTTATTCCTCATATCACGGGGAAAAAGTATTTTATTGTCATTATGTTCATTGATTTCTTTATCATCAAGTGATGAACCTGTCAAGTGTACAAATAAATTTTAAATTGTATGACATACATGTACTTGTAGGCATAGACTTTAATTGGGAATTTTCTTCTGACATTACATCTACAGGTATTTCTGCCAAATGAATTTCAGCCTCTTCAGAATATTCATCATAATAGTTAAAATGCTTTGCTAAATCAAAAAGTAGCTTTCAAGAAAAGACCCACTGAGCTTAACTTACTGTATGCTTCAAAGATAGCATCACCAATATGAGCAGTCTTTGAGAACTTCCTCAATACAGTAACAAACAACTCCAGGTGTTTGTAATTGGAGTGAACAGCACCTCGTACAGCTTTGAGGAGAACTGCTCTACTGTCAGAGACAGAACCTCTTGTAGATATGACACGAGACAGAGCCTCATCAGATATAACCTCTTCATGAAGCAACCTTGCCATACGAACTGGTTCAGTAATTGACTGAGAGAGAGCACTGTAGTTGTTCCTCAATACATTAGAAGCATGACTTTCATCACTACTTCCCATCTCTTGTGTAAACAACTGAACCACTTGATCCTCCTCTTCAGGCATGTTTTCAACTATTAAAAATAGATGGTAATAATAAAAATATAGATTAGCCCTAGTATGCTCATACCATTACTCATTATTTCATTGGCTATATCTCTTGTTTCTTCAACATCAGACAGCACTGTAGCAATATCTTTAAGTTTCCTGTAGTCACTAGACACTGTTTCTTGTATGGCAGTCAATAGAGTGGTCTTCTTGTCATCCAGTGACCTGCTCTGATCTATCCTCTCCATTTCATCCAGAGTAGCTTCACTTATACATCCCTTACAGTATAACAGTTGAGACACTTGTACAGGAGAGACCAGAGCTTCATTCAATGATTGAATATTGCTTTGAAGAACATAAACTGCTTCAGTAGATGGCGGTGTATCTAATAAAAGACAAATTGTATCAGACACTCACAATATGCATATACTAGATCTATCATGCATGGGCTCTTGTTAATACTAGTGTATAATAGCTTACAAGTTGCTTCATGTAATTCCTTCAAATGCTTTTCATATTCATCAGCAAGAGTATTCTCTCCCACTACTTTTTTTCTCAATGTTTCCAGTACCTGTTTCCTACTAGCAGTAGGAGTAGTGGTCAGCCATAGATTGAACATCTCTATTATCTTGTCAGTGTCAGAGCCACCTCGTTCTTTAATGCTTCTTAATCGTTTCTGATCCAAGTCAAGCATTGTACCAACTATGTACCAGTTAGTACTAACATCAACATACTCAGTTAACTCCTTTATAGTTGGAGTAGCTGACAAGAAAGAATTGTACGAACTTTTTTTGTGTTGAGTAGCCATGATTGCTCTAACAGGCCACACCTCAGAGAAACCTGAAGCCTTAACCTCCCATTTTAAGTTAAAAATAAAAAATAAAAAAAATAGATAATAGAGAATGATTGATCAAAACGGCAAATAACAGACAACTGTGAATATTCTCCTGATAACAAATATTATAATTCTCTTTCTTTAAATAATCATTATAAATAAGATCAATAAAATAATCAAATGACACATGAAAATTTAAAATGTACCTTCCAATGATGCATTTTACATATTCTGTTGAGAATAAACATTAAAATATTGATTGGCCACAATATACACTGACCCTAGTATATACCTAGTCCTTGCCTGTGCAAAGCGTGGGTGAAGCTAATAACAAAGAATTTCATGAAAAGGAAAGAGATTTGATAGAAAGAACAAGAAAACGGAAATTACAAAAAAATAAAGACTTACCCTACTATCCAGTAGCTTATTAGCTAATGATATGGCACCGTCAATGATAATCCATTAACGTTGACCTGAGCCCTCGTTTTCTTGCTATAATTTTTGACTTACTTGTTCCATGTACTGCACATACAAACTCCTTTTGCAGCATTTATTTTGGAATTAAAAGTAACTATAGCTTCAAGTTAGTTGTAGAACCCATACTTTACTTTTTTGATACTGTCTAATGGTGGGTATTAATGGTGGGGTTTGTAATCACTTCCGAGGCTCAGGTGAATGGAAATGGACTTTCATACCTAGTGCTCTACAGTATATCTGAACAGTACCTCACTAAATACATTATCATCGTCCTTCATTGATGAAATTTGTGATACCTATAGATAAAGGCACATAAATAAAATACTGCATTGATGTCCTTATGATAATGTAGCAAGTTCTGTGTAACAACTCTGGAGTTATGGTCTTGTGGATGTCTTAAAATATGCCAATTAAGGAAAAATATCATACATTATACTGATGTCTAAAGCCAATTCTGATTAAAGTTATTAAACAAGCAAATTTTCAAAAAAAGCATGGACTATTTATAGCCCAAAAATTGCCTTCAAAATCACACTTATTTTTTATCCCATTTTCCAATACATTATTGATGCTATAGGAAGTTTGAGAAATTGTACTACACAGCAGCAAATTTTGGACTGGAGGGCTAAATTTTGGCAAATTGGTGATGGCAAATCAAATTTGCAACAATGTGCCATTGAGCAGCTCTGTAATTAGTCAAAGACCATGCTCTAAAGAATGGCTCCAAACCAATTATATTACTAAGTTTGAAATAAGTTATGGCCAATTTTAAAAACAAACACACCAATTTATGAAAAATACCCTGTACTATAGCCCATAAGTTTTTCCAAAAATACTTCTGAAGTCACCCCTAATTTTCATTACATTTTTTGATACATATTAATGTCCTTACTTCTTATGCTACTGTTTAGCAGAAAACTTTCTTTGAATGCTAATTTTCACTTTTTCATTGGC